TGGTGGGGCAAGCTGTCGCTTGAGGGCTGGGGATGATGGCGCCGTAGGCAAAAGCCTCACCTGCATCATCTCCAGCCTTTCCTACTTCCAGAACTGCCCTCTTTTCAGCACTGAGGGAAGGACAGTAAACATCACCGCCTGTGGGTCCCCTAAGAATGGCCCCACCCTGGCCCCCAGCTCACAGCAAATTCCATTCATCGTCTTCATTGTATTCTAAACCTAAAGAAAACAAGGCATCATGCCCAGCAGCTTGTCCATAAAACATTAATCACTATTCCCCCTCCTTGAGAGGCTACTGACCAGTGAAGGTGTGACCTCCAGGAGAGATGGAAAAATCCTAATGGGTCAGCACGTGGCTGGGCCACCTCAAGGACAGGGCCCCCTGTTCCTCCAGTGCTTTTCCAGACCAGTTCCTGGCTTTGGGTCTTGGAATTCTGAGGACTGGCCTTGGAACCCCCAAAGAGAAAGAACCCTCCCTGCGTCTATCAGTTCTCCCAAAAGGCACCATGGTCCTTGGGGCCAAGTGGCAAATGACTGCCTTGAGACAGCCACATCCTTTCATTTGGGCCTTCTTTGAGCCCATGTGAGTTTTTGAGATGGATACTGACATTGGGATCACAGCCAGAGTTATAGGCCACCAGCCCCACTGAGGCTTCACGGCACGTGTGTCCGACCAGTTGCTCCTGACCCCAATTCAGGGTAGCTTCAGAGATCCATTCTTCTCCCCTGGATGACTCAGCACCCCTCCAGGGTCTGGGAGGAGGAATCCCTTTGATCCTGGAGGGGAAAGGGAACTATCAAAATGGAACAATGGGTCTACAAGGATCCCAGATTCCTGCATATTTGGAAACCCAGCACGGACTGACCCAGTCATATATATGTGTGTGTGGCGTAAAGGCAACCTCAGGTTGATCTGAGCATTCGTCACAGGCCTCTGGAAGACGTTCCCTCCGAAGGCCTTTGGAAAAATCCTGCAATCTGGGCCAGGGATCCTCGGTCTCAGAACCAGGGGCGTGAGTGTGGAACCACAACGTTTTGCTCTTGTGAGTTTAATGAAGGGACAGATATTCTAGGATTCAATGGCCGCTAGATTGCATCCTGCTTCCTCCTGGGCCAAGTGCAGACGGCACAGCCTTCCAGGCTCACTGAGCCACCTCCATGTGCAAATCTCCGCTAGACCACGGGGGAGTCCTAGCAGGCAGCCAGCTGAAGGGGTGTGATAGATGATCCCCACAAGAGCACTTCACGTGGGTGCTCACTTGAATGCTCAGCAGCCGGCAGACAAAGTCTGAGTCATGGAATCTTCCAGGAAATGTACTCTCTCTGTTAAAGTTAGATGAAGAAAATAGACACGGGCTCTGGTTGCTCTCCCAGCCTTGCTCTAGCTCCAGTTTTTCCTGCAAAATTTCTTCTCTGTGCTGGGCTAGACAAAATGCAGGCAGAGCAGAGGGGGGCTGACCTTTGGGAGTTGGGGTGTCTGAAGTTCTGTACCCATGGGCCAGAAGATGAGAGGACACCTGGGGCAGCCTCACCCTGAAGTCTTTGTCCCCAGGCCCGGAAGGACATCTGAGGCTTCTTCGTTGGGCATTATTTTCCCTCAGAGTGCAGCATTGCCCTTCCCCTTCCCATATAGTCTTGTGGGAGGGGGCAACCTCTGGATAAGCAAGTTTAGCAGACATTTCCCTCCAGAGAAAGGGGCAGTCAGGCCTAGAGAGCTCCAGGGAGGCTGGGGTGGGGTCAATGCCAGGGGAGATGCCAGGGGTCTGGTGGTGATGAAGTGTCAGAAACAGACACCAAGTCTAGGTAGCCCCAGAGTGAGCTGCACTCCTCTCAGTGCTGGAGTTCCTTCAGCCTCCCATTGTCCTTCCTGCTTCTGTCTCTCAACACCCTCCAGGCAGAGGAAGACAGGCTAGCTGGCTGGCCTAGAACCAAACTTCGTGGAGTTCTTGACAAAACAGACCAGCACCTCATGGTGGGAGGAGCCTAATCTTTGAAGCCAGGCAAAGAAGGTTCAAATCCCAATTTTGCCACCAACCTGTTGTGTGGCCTTGGGCCAATCATTTCAACTTCAGGGGCCTCAGTGTCATCCGTAAATGGGGGAAGTCATCTTTCAGTTTTCTAATATTGTTGTTTCCACTTTGAGAAACCAGCCCTCAGTGTGTGTGTGGTGGGCAGGGAGGCAGGTACCAGGGGCCTGTGTCCAATTCTCAGCAACAAAGACTTGTCTTTGGGTGTCCATCTCCCTTTCTGTCAAATAAGGACAGCCACACCTCTGTGTCCCCAGCTCTGAGAGAGGCCATGAGTGGGAAGGGGTTTTGTGAGTTCAAGAAGGCTGAACAGAGCCCTGCTGGGCCCACACCAGCCTCCAGACTACAGGGGGACAAATGGAAAAGCAGGTGCAGACCAGCTCCCTGTCACCTTCAGGGCAGAGGACAGCCCACTCTGACCTCTCTTCTCTTCTGCCTGAGCAGACATGCCAGGTATCTGACTCAAGCCACAGATGCCTCCACAGGAAAACACACACCCCCACTAGGTGTGATACCTGCTTCTGGGACGGTAGGGGGCCCACAAGGCCTCAAGGTGCTAACTTGCTCTTTCCCCCTTAGCTACCACAGGTCACCCTTCCCAGCCAGCTAAGCATCACCTGTGCTCAGCTCAAATTCACTCTGTACTGATGCGTGAGCTCCTGACCAAATCTTGGGTCCCACCATCCAACACAGTTGTGGCCGGGGTCAGAAATGGGAGTGGAGGGACAGAAGTATGGACACAGGAGTGGCCCCTGGTGCTCCCTGGGCCACCCTCTGAGGAAGGCCAAGTCTTAATGGGGCTGTCACACTTCAATCCTGCTTTCCCCCATGTCTTTCATACTCTGTCACCAAAAATGACCCCTACCGGGAACAGAACTCTGTGTTGCAAAGGTGGAGCTCTGGGGTGAGGCTGTGTCCAACCACTGAGACCAGGGACCCTCGGGGCAGGAAGGCAGGCAGCGACTCCCCCTCAGACTGGGTCCGCAGTGTGGGCACCCATCTCCTCTCCGACCCTGGGAGCCTTCGTAGGAACACAGTACCCAAAGAAGAAAAACTACAGGAAGCTCAGATGACCTTATAAGTCATTTTCCTTTATTTTCTTAACATAGAATGAACTTCCGATTCCAAAGAGACACAGAGGCAGAGTGGACAGATGCGGGGTCTGGCAGGCAGCAATCAGAACCAGACAGGAAGTGGGCCTGACCCCCTCCCCTCCAGCACACCCCTCGCCCCTCCTGGCTTCTGACCCCTGCCCAGACAGAAACCGAGCAGCTGGGAATAAGAGGGGCCAGTCTCCCGGTCCAGGGAGTAGCCAGAGACATGGCCTCGGTTGCTAGGCCTGGCCAAGTCATTATCTAGCTGTGGGACCTTGGACCTCAGTTTCCTTATCTGTTAAATGAGCTAGAAGTCCCTGCTAGGGAATGATGGAGAAGAGAGTGTGTAGATGTTACGATGTATCGGTGACCAGTTAGGGTTACCTGGTTGTCCTGCTGCTTTCAGATAATCGGCAGATGGAGTCACTTGGGTTTTGTCACCATCATGGCTACAGGCTTGCTGGGGGACCTGCTCTGGCCCCAATGGGATTGGACAGACCATGGAGACAACTGCTCCCAAAGCAAACTCTCTCCTCTGAGACGGTCCTGGGGTGGTGTTGGGAGCTACATCATCAGGCCAAAGACAACTATCCCCCCAGGTAAATGAGAAGGGAAGCCTGTGGCTTGGGGTCACATAGCAAGCCTGCGCAGGTCACCCAGCTGCCCCAAATGCCTCCAACCAGGAGTTCAGCAATATGTGGGGGAATCTGCTTCTTCCCTCCCCTAGCATCAGCTAGGAGCTTGGAAGCCGCCCTCAGCGTCCAGCAAGGGCCATGTGCCTCCATGGGCTGATCCGCATCATGGTCCCCTAGCCTCGGGCTTGGGGCTTCAGATAACCAACTTCCCTTTAATAAACACACACCTGCATAAGCGTGACCTGTGTCTACGCTGGCAGGAGGAAGCGGAGAACCGCAGGACAATTAAGATGATGCAACAGTAGGTGGGCAAGGCCGACTAAAACCCTATGAAGGAGCATGGGTATTGCTCCTTTGCGCTCCATCTGACACCTTCCTGCAACAGCGGACCCCATCCCCGCTGCATAGGGGTCGGCCCTGCTCCCCCGCGGACAGGGACTTCTCATGCCCTGGGCTGTCTGTTGGTCTACTGCTCTGAACCATGTATGCATATGTCCTTGTGTCCTTGTGTTCACACAGGTATGTACTATAGCTCTCCCCTTGGGAAAGAACCAGGGCAAGTGGAAAAGCTGCTGGTCCATACTACCTCTTCTAGAACCCACAGAGTATCTACACTTACAGAATGGAGAGGCCTCGGGCTCGGAGAGCTCTCCCTGTCCCTGCCACTCTACAGATGGGGTCACAGGGGCCCTAAGATACGGACGATCGCAAGGTCATGCAGCAAGTCCAGGGCGGCGGGGGCGGGGGTGGGGGGGGCTGGAGGTCGAGCCAAACCACAGGAATGAAGCCAGTCTGCCACTTGCCCTATCATACACCTCCTGGGATCTCTTCCCCTTGGAGCACCCTCGGGGGCAGAGGGACTGTTCTAGAAGGAGGGCCACGCCCAAAGGCACAAAGCAAACAGGGCGGTGCCCAAGAGACCTGTAGCAGGCGAGCCGTGGAGCACCTCTGGGATGAGGCGGACTTCCTGGCACACCTTCCATCACACTCCAAGGGGACAGCTTAGCAGGGTGGGTCCCTCTCTTTCACCTCCTCCATGACTTCAAGGGAGTGAGTGATTGATAAATCTTGGTCCCCAGGAAGCCCAGAGGCCAGGAAACAGAGAAAGAGAAAGAAAGTGATAGAAACAGTCCCGAACCAGGCTTGACCACGCAGTTCTGGAGGATCTTTGGGAAGCTACGTTGGCCAGCTTGTCCGAATGTCTGCAACAGGATTTTCCCCTCCCCGCCCTCCGCCCGCCCCTGCCCCGCCCCCACATGGGTGCCCGGGCCAGGGCTTCTCTATTTGGGCTTCATCTCCACCCTCGAGTTGATGTCATCGCCATCCAGGTCGTACTCCTCCACCTGGCCGCTGGTCCAAACCTTCACGCGGTCCGTGAGGTCGCTGCTGCGCGGGGCCAGGATGAAGTCGTAGATGAGCACAGCCAGAGCTCCCCCGATGAACGGCCCCACCCAGAAAATCTAGGAACAGAGCAGACATGCTCAGGGGCTGTCCACCGAAGCCCTGGGCTCCTCCTCTCCAGGGACATCTGCCCTGAGAGGCACCCCACCAACACCCCACAGCATGGGCTCCCTCCCCATCTGCGCCTGGATTTAGAGGCAGGCAGTGTCGAAGCCCAACGTCCTGATTCCAGGGCTCGAGGAGCAGGCCCAAGACATCCACTATCCCAGGACGCTGCCAGTGGGCCTTTCCTTGCCTCCATGTGCCCCAGCTCGGGGTGCCTGGTGTGACTGGGCCAACCCTGTCCCACCCTCCCCAGTGTCAGAAGGGCCCCAGGAAGGTCTAGCTTGATAAACGGTGGCCTGAAACAGTCACATGGACAGGAGGAACAGCTCCATCCACTGAGTGCTGACTCTGTGCTACACTCAACCTACAGGCGGTGAGGCCGTCGGTCCCAGAGGCCACCCTGGGAGTTAAGTAGGGTTCACGACACCCCACTTCACTGCTCAGAGAATGACAGCTTGCCTGTGTCGCACTGAATAGGGAAAGGGTAGGGCCATGATTGGGTCTGGCTCCTCATCATGCTGCTGGGGCGCTGCACCCCACCACCCCCATGTCAGGCCTCGCTTTCCCGATTTCCTCGGCCCTTTCAGTCTCCCAGAGCCTCCGTGATGAGAGGATGCCACAGGGTGGAGCTGGGACCATCACTCAGCACCAAAACCTCCCGCCTCCCCCCAGGGATAGCCCTGCGACCCCTTACCCAGTGGTCCTTGAAGTTGTGTGTGATCACAGAGGAGCCAAAGGACCGGGCGGGGTTGATGCCACAGCCTGTGTAGTCGATCTGAGAGGGGCAGGGTAGGAGGCAGAAGGGGGAGATCCAGAGAAGTAGAGACAGAGGGAGAGGAGACATCGTGACACACAGAGAGAGAACAGGGAGGTGACAATCAGACCCAGAAAAACAGGGGCACGCTGACCCAGAAAGATGGTCAGGAGGTCCCCATGCTGCCCTCTCAGAGCAAGACCCTGGCCCCAGTGTCCTACCCATGACAGGGTACCCTAACCGCCCTGCCTGGCCCTGTTCTCCCCATTCCCAGCTGGGGAGGCCCCACACTCACCGCCAGCAGGTGTCCCAGGGCCACGGAGAGGCCGATGGCAAGAGGTCCCGAACCCCCGAGGTCCCGGCGCCTCCTATCCGTGGTGGCGAGCACGCACAGCACGAGCTGCAGGGTGCCGATGATCTCGATGCCCAAGCCCTGACCAGAGTTCACGCCAGGGGCCAGCTGTCAGGAAGAGGGACAGCAAGGTTCGTTAAGCAGACAAGGTGGGGACTGTGTCCTAGAGCCCCGGCCCCCCGGCACCTCTGTGTCCTTAGAGCCCATCACAAGCCCCCCTGCTGGGCCCAGTGTGGGGGCGGACAGTCCCCACCCCAGCACGCAGCATGGGTAGTGGACACCAAGCTTTGTTCCTCCCATAGCATTGAGGAGTTGCCAGCCCGGCCCCTGGTACCTGCCTCCACCCTCTGTGCTCTGCCTGGAGGCTGGAGAAGCCTGGGAGGGAGCCCGGCCTCTGCCTTCAGCTCCAGCCAGCAAGGGCATCCTGGGGTACCGGAGTACCTGAGGGGAGGGACAAGTCCCACATGTGGGAGGGCCCACCTGGACACACGGCTTCACACCCCACAATTCCAGAATATTCCACCCCATTCCCTGCTGCGTCTAAAACTCCCAAAGCTGGGGAGGGTCTTCGCTGGTTAGCGAGCCCCACTCCCTTAGTTTCTTTCCTTGAGGCTGTCTCCCTTGCTGCCCCACCCTCTGTCTCCTACCCCACCTTGTCTGTCTCTCCCTTTTCTTCTCTGCCTTCCCTGTTTTCCCCTCCCTCCTGGACCAGCGCCCCCCCCCATCTCCCTGGCCGCATAGGCCCCGCCACCACCGTCTGGCTGCCACTTGCTCTTGGGCTGCTTTTAGAAACATGACTCATGGAAAAAGAAGGGAATGGGAGCTGCCATGAGGTCATCAGAGCCCTCCCCCTGCAGCTGCACCAGGAAGACCCCTCCCCAGGGATCCCCCACACCCTCCCCTTTGTGGGGGTCCCAGGGGTCAGGTGCACCCACACAGGGGAGCTGAGCTGCATGGACAAAGCCCACTGGCAGAGACACCCCGATGTGGCTATGCAGTCTGCTTCCTCCAGGTAGAGCTGGTGTGTCCAAATAAGCCTGAACTTGAAGTCTCATCCTGGAGACGAAGGGAGAGGGGGTGGTCCTCCAAAGCCAAGGGGCATTTTATAAAACCCTAGGTGGGGGACTCTCCTCCATCCCCCCAACCCCCGAGTTTTCTCAGCCCCACCCTGAGGCCATCTTACAAGAACAATTCTCTTCCCGCCTTTGTCTGCAGTCCTGGGTCACAGGGAAAGTGACTCACATCCCCTCCCCTGTGCTGCAGCCCCAGCTCTAGGCTTTTCCTGGCGGACCCCAGAACTGTGACCCCTCAGCCCAGCCAGCCCTCTGGGCAATGCCCGGTTTTCTTCCCATCTCTAGGTTGGGTGGTAGAGGCAGAAGCCCTGTGTTCAGGTCCTGACTCTCCCCCTTGCTGGTGCCATGGCCATGGCCTTTCTCCAGTCTGATCCTCAGTTTCCCTATCTGTAAAATAGCTTACCCTGCCCACTTTCCAGAGTGGCTGGAGTTTCCAAGGCAATGCGGTGGGGAGGGTCTCGGGGCATTTGGGAAGGGCTGCAGAGGCAGGAGGGACCGGGACAGCTGTGGCTTTGTTCTTATTCTTTCTCACCTTATCTGCTGGACTGAGGGACAGGTGGAAGGGGAAGGGCCCTGCATAGGATTGTGGAGACAAGAGTGAGCCTGCCAGGAGCCATAACGAGCTCCATGGAGGTGAGGCCCATGAGACCAGGCCGACTTGCAGAAATGCCTATCCCCACTCACGCCTGCTACTGCCCTCCTGACAGTCTTCAGGAAGCCCAAGGCTCCTCTTCCTGCTCTCTCCTTGGCTCTCCAGGCTCAGCCTAATTATTAGCTGGCAGGAGTCCGGAAACCAGGGCTGGCACTCTGATTAATGGAGCCATCATTCTAAGTGGCTCCTGCCTCCTAGCCTCCCCCATCCCCACCCTCTTCACAGACGTGGCCGGGGCAAGCTCATCTCCTCCCCCAATTCTCAACCAGGTCTGAGTACCCCAGCACCTGCTCAGCCCATAGGCACAGGTACTCATGCAAAATGAGCAGAGCCAGGGGCCCAGGGCCATGCCCAGCTCTCTGAGTCTACAGGAAGTGGAGGGGGTGGGCACCTGCCCTGGGAACTCTGCGTTTTACCCCCTTTCCTGACCACCCAGAGCCTTAGCTCAAACCGCATGGGTTGATGAACTTCTTCTCCCAATAGCCATCACAACCAGCACCACCAGGAAGCCTCCCCTGATTGCTTCAATGTCTGCTGACCACTTCTCCTTTGACCACCAACACACTTGTGTGACTTACATTGGGCAAAACTTGATAATTCAGTACTGAAAGGGAGGGATTGTTAAAGGTCTGCTGAAAGTGGATGTCCAGAAGAAAGCAGGTAAAAACTCAAAATAATGTTATTGTTTACAACCCATTAAATCAGAAACAATTGCTTAAATAGGGCTGATCTCAGTTGTGGTCACTTGGTATTGAAAAAAAAAAAAAATGTTCGCACGTTTCCAGGGAGTTTTGCCCAGCTTAGTCTTATATGCCACTGATTAAGTCTCCTTCAAAACAACAACAACAACAACAACAACAACAAAAAAAACATTAGTTTTATGAATATAAGTTTGAACAACAGAATAAGACCCTCATTGAATCTGAAGCATCAGAAAGCAGCAAGCTCTTCATTTTCACATCAAATCCAGGTAAGTCCCCTCAAGGCCCAGTTCAGACCCTACAGACTCCAAGAAGTTTCCCATAGACCCTGGCTGGAATTACCTTCTGCGGCTGCGCCATCAGGCTCTCACTGAACCGCCTGCGACTCTTGCCGGGAAGTAACCTTCCAGCCTCCTCTGTGGGTGCCTCAAACCCCTAGCCTGGGAGCTTGGTGAGGATGGAGTGGGGAGACCTTCTCTTCTTACTGCCTGGACCTCAGAGGAGACACTTGCCGTATAGTGAAAGAAGCAGCAGAGAATGCTAATTTTCTAGAACTCCCACCCTCTCTAGAGGCAGCCTGGCTCCAGGGAAGCTCTCTGGATTTAGGGCCGATTTACCTGCTTTTTGGCTGGGACACCACAGGCCAGTCATTAGTTTTCGTGGGTCTTAAGGGGAGGCCCACACAAGCCTCTGTGAGGTAATGGATGAGGGGGCTGAGACCCAGGGAGGAGATAGCAAAGCCATCTCATCCCAGCCAAGGATCCTGACTATCTACAGGTCCAGCCAAGGGACCTGGCTGTTTCCAGCTTGGACCGAGGAGCGGGTGGAAGATGGGTCTACAGCGATCAGTGTGACCCAGGCCCCAGGACGGCGGGAGAAGGAGAGCGTATGGGACTGAGCTCTCTAGACAGCGGGCCTCAACCCATCCCTGCTGCCCATGGACAGAATGATCAAGGTCGCTGCCTAGGCCCAGGGCCCCAACTTACCCTGGACGCCCTGGTGACTCATCCTTGGAAAACAGCAGGTTCCTAAATGGGTCTGGCTGAGCATCCAGTCTTGAAAAACAGGGGAGGGGAGACTTCGAGGCCTGCCCTATTTGCCCACTGCCTCCAGGACTCAGCACTCACAGTCAGGGGGACCTCAGTGGGTCCCTTGTGTCACTCCTTGATGGGTATTCCTGTGTGCATGTCCCTCCAGGTAAACAACGCTTTGTGTGCCTCTGTGTATCTTTATAGGCTGGTGTCTGCAGGATCTAGGGGTGACCGTATGGGTCCGGGTGTGACTCTTTCCTTTTCTCTTTCATTAGATATTAAGAGGCTTATTACATCATAATTGAATGACAAGTCTATCAAAGAGCTACATAAATTCGAAACCTGTATGCGCCAAACAAGATAGCCTAGAAAAAAATGACAACTGACAGAACTGTAAGGTGAATTTGGTCACTCAGCTGCCAGAGTGGAAGAGTTTACCAGCCCTCTCTCAGAAATGGATAGACTAAAGCAGTCAGACACTATAAATAGCAGCAGCGGGAAGGATTTGAGCCTCATAATTAACAAGCTTGATTTAAGGAAAATGCATAAAGCCCTGCACCCCAAATTTGAGAATATCCCCTCACTTTCAGCCCCCATGTGGACACGCAGACCAGCTGGTCATGTGTTAGCCCGGGTGTCCCAGCTGTCTCTGAGAATCTCGATCACACACGAGCCATCTCTTGCCACGGGAGGGCTCTGTGTGTCTGGGGGGGTCTCTCTGTGGCACATGGCCCTGCATGACCATGCTGGGCATCTGGTGGAACTTTTGAGTGTGCCATCCTGTCCCCTGGCAGCAGAAGTGCCACCACTAGCTAGGGACAGGGGTCGAGAAGGGAAGGAGGCCCCCATGAGGGACAGAGTGAGCAGTGGATTTCAGAGGGTCATTATTTGCTCCCAGAAGCCACTTCATCTTCCTGACAAGAAACAATACACAAAACAATGGCTTCCTCCTTCCCTCCCTCCTTCTTTTCCTTACTCCAGGGCAGTCCCCACCCTCCTGCCAGGGAAAGGAAGAGGCTCATTGAGAAGCACTTATCCCACCCTCCTGGGATCCCAGGGCCTGAGTGGGACTGCCCAGGCTTGCAAATGTGCTCTACAACCACCTGTGTGTGCCTCCCCACCCCTGTTCTGTGTGAGTGTGTCTGTGTGTGTGTGTGTCAGTGAAGTGTGAGTATGTGCACTTTAGAGCAGCAGAAAGAACGAAGGGCCAGGAGGCAAGCTGGCGACCCGCTCCTCCCCTGCCCTGATCAGCTACACAACCCAACAATCTCAATGCCTCTTTGGCCTCAGTTTCCTGATCAATAAAATGGAGGCACTGGCCCAGATGTTAGCCCCAGGATGCCTTTAGGTCTGACATGGAACCCCTGCTCCCAGAACCTGCAGTCACCCTCCTGGTCAGGATGCAGGATTCCCACAGAGCCATCTGGACTGGGGTCTCAATGGGGACAAAGCCTGTTCCAGGATCTCCTTCCCAGAGCAGCCAGAAGCAGGCAGATTCTACCCACAAGCCCTTATGGTCTTATGGGGGCCTTATGGACTCAGGGGTAGCCCCATCCCAATTGTATCTGCCTCTCTATGGTCCCCGTGGTAGGATTTCAGGCACTGACAGGAGCTGCTGCTGGAAATAGGGCATTTTCCAGTCTTTTCTACCATCTATTGAGTTGGGGTTCTTAACGCCACTGGAGTGCAGCTCCTTGGTAACATGAAAATGGCCCTTCACTTAGCCCTGTAAGCCACCAATGGGGGGTGTCTAGGAGCTCCCCAGTTCAGGGGAGATGCCCGGACTGAGGGGACATTGACCATGACATTTTCCTGCCCACGCCTGCAGGCATGTTGACTCAGCCCCAGCTATTCAGGAGGCCCCAGACCCACTGGAGCTTCCAGAGGGCAGGGACCATGCCCCTCCCACTCCCCCCACTTCCCCACTCCCAGGGAGGCTCTGCCAACAAGAACGAGGGGCTCTTAGGGAAAGCCTTCCTGAGCCAGTCCCTACGGGGTGGATGTGGGACATGTCTGTCCAGCCTGGGGAAAGCCCTGGTTCTGGAGGAACCCCCACTGGGTGGGGCCCTAGAGAAAGTGGGGAGCACTCTGGGGCTGAGCCCAGGTGGGGGGGCACTCCATGGAATTGGTCTGCAATGAAGTAAGGGCTCAAGACATGGGAAGGAGGCCGTGACCTGGGGGCCAGGAGGGAAGGCGAGTCCTCACAGACTGGGCTGCTCATGCAGGCTATGTCCCCTCTCACGGCCTCGCCCCTTTCAGACGAGAAGTTGCCAGAGTGAGCCCTGGGTAAGGCCAGGCTTTGGGGTGGGCAGCATGGGCCTGGCAGGGCTGCTCCAAGGCCCTTCACAGGGAAAACCGCCTCAGAATTTTCCGTGGTGAGGGAAGTCACCACAAAGCTCCCGCCTCTCTTCGCCCTCCCCCTCATCTGGTTCCGCCTGGAACCGGTAATTATAGGTCCCAGCTAGGGCATCTCCACCCAGCCCCCAGCCTCCTCTCTGGGCACGTCCATCTGAAAACTGGCTTCCCTTTCCCCAAGCCACCCCTAACTCTGAAGAAGGTGGAGGGACCCTCAACCCTGGAAGGACTCGTGGCCAGTGCGGGCGAGGGCGGCTAACAGGGAAGGGACAACCCTTTCACTCTGTGCTTAGGGAAACTGAGCCCAGGTGAGAGTTTAGGGCTGAGATCAGGCCCTGGATGGAGCAGACAGAGGCAGTCTCCCGGCAGTCAGGCCCAGAATCAGCAGGGCTGAGAGAAAGACCACAAAGAGGAAAGGTTTGCCCTGCCTGAGCCCCTCAGGGCGCTAAAATCCCAGGCCTCCAGTCCCCTCTCAGACACAGGCAGACACTAACCTCAATCCTGACCGTCCACCCTCCAGAGCCCCAGCCTCCCACCAACCCCACCCTGCAACTCCCCGGCTCTGACTTCCCACTGCCACCTTGCCTGCGCTCATGCCCTTTCTCTGCCTGGAAGCCCTTTCCCTGTCTCCACATTCAGGCTCCCATGGCACTTCCTCCTTGAAGCCTTCCTGGTCCTCCCCACGGCTCAGAGGCAGAAATTCCCTTGCCGCCCTGACACATCTTATCACACCTGCCTCCTGCCCAGTATCACAGGACGCTGTGCTGTGTGAAGGGCTTATCTTGCCCACCAGGGGCCTTGGTCGCCTAGGGTAGGGAGCTGGCTGCCAGCAGTCCCAGTCCAGTTTGCGGGGAGCATGTGTGAATGAGCTGGAGAGGGAAAGAATCAAAAGAGCCGGCTAACAGTCAAGACATCAAGGTTCGGGAGCATCTTGCATTTCGCAGAGCCCAGACACGCCCTGTGTCTCTATTTCACAGATGGAAACCGGGGCCACACAGGCGAGACCGCTGGCATGAAGAATGGTAGTGTCTGGGTAGGGCAGGGCCAGATAAGGCCACCAACCCCTGACTCTGACGCTCTCATTTTGGGCCGAAATTGGGGTTTGGCTCTTAGAACCAGCCAGGATCCTATAGGCGGGACAGAGGCCCATGGTCTCTCCAGGGCATATCCCAAGCCCTGACTCAGCGAGAAGAAAGTTGCCCCCACTGTGCCCCTGGGGACACCCCCTGACTCACCCCAACCACTTCCTGCAGCTTCTTTCCCTATTTTCCTTAGGAATCTCCATGCCAACAAAGGGCTCCACCTAGGTTTGGGCCAGGGTGGGGTCCAGGGCCCAAGGGGCTGTGGGAGCCTCCCTCAGAGCCTGGAGGAAAGAGTGTGTCACTCGCTGCATAGATGGCTCTCTGCCCCTCTTGAGGCATTGGGACCACCTGCCAGCTGCCTTCAGATCCCTTCAGATCCCAGGTTCAGGATCTGCAGGAGTCCCTGGGCGAGATGCTTTGTTTCTAGGCCCAGCACTTGTACTTCTGAACCCCCAACTTCCACGGTGTAGAACTTCCAGGACAGTTCCTGCATCCCACCACCACACTCAGTATCCCTATGTTCAGCGTGGCCCCTTCGTGGACTCGTCTTAGCCAGACCCTCCTGGGAACGGTGATAATAAACTCAAGTCCACAATGTAAGCTTTCTGGTAGTACAGGCAGGGCCAAGAAATATCTAGAGACCTAGGTTCCTCTTGGAGTCTCAGGGTCCTCAGCTCTAGGGCAACTCAACAAGTTAGCTGCAGACAGGACTTGAACCTGGTGTGCGTGCCTCCCAGACCCGGCTTGACCCCAGCCTGAGCCAGTCCCTTTTTCTCCTCCATCAGCAACCTGCCCAGCCCAGGCATCCAGGTAACTCTGGAAAATGGAGGCCAGAGAAGGAAAAGGACACTGGAGCAGGGTGCAGCCAGATCATGACACCATAGCAGGTGGCTGCCCTCCCTGCCTCTACCTAAGATGCCCAAATCAGAGCACAAAGTTGGCCAACAGATGCCTGTCCCTCCTGTCCCTCGAGAAGGTAGGTCAAGATGGGGCAGGTCTGCAGAGATTCAACCCTTCCCCTTATGAGGACCTCCTTCCCCCCACCTCCCGCCATCACACCCCACTGTGAACCTGACCCTACCCAGGGGCCACCCCCTCGGGCACCAGGCTCTGCCCTTCTGTAGAGACCAAAGCTTGGAGCAGCGCGGCCTGCCAGAGCTCCGGTCCCTTCCACCCACCTCAGCCACATCTTTCCCGACTAAAGTCTAAACTCCAGCCTGCAGGCTAATCTTCAATCTTGGGCCAAGCAGCAGTTGGCTCTGCAAGGGGGCCGGGTAGGGTGTCACTGTGACACCAGAAGTGCTAATCCCCCCGCGGCAAGGCCGTGCCAGCTGCCCTCTGCACCAGACCTTACCAAGCCTCCCCCCAGCCGCAGGGCAAGGCTCTGAACTTTGGCTGGGAAGTAAGGGAACAATAGCTATCATCGCCTGCCACCGTCTCTGAGGAGCCCTTGGCCACCTCCCTCGATGTCCCTACAACCGCCTGCCTGCCCTGCCCTGGCCAGCCTCCTTTCTGTAGATCCGATTCCTCCTCTGTGCTCCTTCGTCTCTCCCCTTCCCTGGGAAGGCACCCTCCAAGCCTTCCTCTGTCTCTCTCCGGCCAAATTTCCCCCTGCTGTGGCCCAAGCCTGTCTGAGTTTGCACTTGGCCGAGGGGTTGGAAAAGCCCTGGTCTGCAACAGCAGGAAACTGCCGTCAACGGCCAGTTAGCAGGGCTAAGCAGCTGGGGAGGAATTCTTTACAGCAGCCTGCCCCAACTCACCAACATCTGCTCACCATTAGAGCCCCCTGCCCAGACCCCACTAGAGCCAGGAGCAGTGGGCACACACAGGTACATGCTCACCCCCGCCTGCTTACAGCGCAGCACGAACACTTGCAGACATGCTTTCAGATGCAGGCACACACGGGAACACGCAGCTTACACAAGCCCGGAGACCCATGCCAACATCCACGTGCACACACCGTTCACACACACAAATACATGTGCCACACCTCACGGGGCCAGTGGCAGAGTGCGGACGGGAGGCCAGAGGTCCCCACCCCAGCCGCCACCCCACACTGCAATCCAGGAAAGCCACCGACCAACAGCCCAGAGAAGGTTTTCTCTCCCCTTCCACCCCCAGCTTGGTCTAATTCCTGGGGGCCAAGGAGTGTGGGGGGGGGGCTTTCTCTTTGAAGGTGGTGTGTTCGGGCACCTGTGTGAATGCGGGGTGGGCTGGGGACCTGTGGGGCCTCCCACCTGGGTCCTGCTCACTCTTGCATGTGCGCCGGGACTCCGGCTCAGGGTGGCTGGGGACAGTGGGCAGTGTCTCCCCAGGGTCCAGGCTGTAGGAAGAGGGAGGTGGCCGTCCCGGCAGGCTGAGGGGGGTCAAGAAACTACAGCTGAGAGGTGAGGAACTGCTGGCCCCAACCTTAGTTGGGGGACTAACCTCAGAGTTTAGTCCCTATAACAGAGGCCCACCGGGGACATTGGCAAGACGGCTACTGTCTGGGTCTCAGCCTCCCACAGTGCCTGGCAGAAAATGGGCGCCACGCTGCAGATGTAGCTGAGCTCCAGCCCCGAGTCCACATGACCGCCAGACACCTAATGTCCTCTCTGCTCCTCAGTGTCCCCATCTGCACGATGGGTGGAAAATGAGACCCCAACCATCTCTGCTCCTCGCCAGAGCCCCAAGTGCCTGGGGCCACCCCGCTTACCTCATTTCGGCCGAGCGAATTGTCCGGCAGGGAGGAGGTGATGCCCGAGAGGATGGCGGTGGCCACGATGGCACCCACGCACTGGGCGACAATGTACATGACGGCCCGGAGGATGCTGATCTGACAGCTGAGCAGCAGCCCCAGCGTGACAGCCGGGTTGAGGTGAGCACCACTAATGTGGCCCACACTCTGGGCCAGTGTGGCGATGCTCAGCCCAAAGGCCAGGGACACCTTCACGTTATCCTGGGGCGCACCTGCTGTCTGGTTGTTCCTCAGCGGGTAGTTGAAGCCGAGAGCAGAACCAATGCTAATGAAGACGAAGAGGGTCATGGCCAGGAACTCGGCCACCACTGCCCTCCAGAAGAGCTTCTTCTTGAACTCGCTGGCCATGCTGGCAGGGGGCTTGGCTGGATACCGCTGCCTGGTGCTCGACTCCCTCTGAGAGCTGAGCCACAGCCCGGGCTGGGCCTATTTATAGGGCCCCGAGTGGTTGTGGGGGGAGGAGAGGAGGGGGGAGCACAAAGGGAGGAAGGCCTCTCTTTGCTCCTGGCCCGCCCCATACTGCACGGGCCTCCTCTCAGCGATGGATGCAGACACAGCTCTGCTGTCGGCCTGCCAACTTTTTTCCCTCCCTCCTCTCCCCCCTCCCTCCCTCTCTCCCTCCGCCCTCAGCCCTGCCCAGCTCCAGGAGGCAGGCAGGAGGCAGCCACTGCTCTAATAGGCTTTGGGAAATTCCTCCAAGCTGGCCCCACTCAGGGGGCCAGAGAAATTCAGGTGTCCCCGCCCTACGTGCAAAGCTCAGGGGGTGCCCATGGGCAGAGCCAGGAGCTCTGGATGGAGCGGGTTGGGTGGGCGGGCTGGACTCAGCAGGTGGACATTGCCTTCCCTGGAGGCGGGGCACCATGAATCCTGCTTGCCTGGCATCCCCATCCCGCCCCACAGTGGGGTTAGTCTAGAGACAGGGGCCCAGGGGTCCCCAGGGCCATTCTGGGCCTCCTGCACCCCAGCCCAGGCCTGGCTGCTGGATGTCACTTTAGGGCCCCAGCACCACAGGCCAGGCCCAGCTAATGGAGGCACACAGACATCAGGAGGCACAGAGAGCTCATCTGTGGCCCACCCTGTACTCTGTGGTCAAGGGCAGGCCTGAGATAGGTAAGGACGTGGAAAGTACCCACTCTGGGAGGCCTCATGCTTCTGGAGCAATTTGAACTAATTTCAGGGCAGATGGAGAGAGTGGGGTCAGTTTAGGCTTTTTCTCTCCAAAGCTGCATGCTGGCAGACCACAGGGGAGAGGACAGACATGGCAGGCTAGCCTGGAGACAGGAGGGCAAGAGGAGAGAAGGAAAGAAGGCCCAAGAGAAAGAGAGAGACAGAGACACAGCCTGAGAAGGGAAGAGAGAAGACAGACAGACAGCAGAAGACAGACGGACAGAATGAAAGAGGAAAAGGGAAGCAGAATGCCCACAACAGTGGAAGTTAAAGAGAGATCTCAGGCCAGGCTGAGAGGGAGAGATAGCCAGGGAGCACAGAGGGTGAGGAGACAAACTGGAAAAAGAGGAGATAAGACTGGAACCAGAGGCAAGAAGCTAAAGGGGAAAGATGGGGGGAGGGGAGCGGAAGAGGCCACTCTGCAGAGCCCCATGGTCCAGCCTGTGCCGTAACAGAGACCTCACAGCAGCCATTTAGCTGTACAAGCAACTGGACTCCCATAGCCTGGAGCTCCTGCCAGCCTGGGGAGGTCCCCCGCCTATGGGGAGGGGAAGAGCAGCCAGGCCGCACCCTGGGGAGGTGGGCAGGGCCAAGCCTGGGAGGGAGGGGCCCTCTCTGGTTCTCTCCTTTCACCTCCTGCAGGCCCCTCCTCAGTCCTACACGTTGAGTGTTGGCTTCTCCCCATTTTACAGGAGACAAACTGAGGCTCAGCAAGGGGGGCAACTCTAAATTCTGCATGCGCCAAGGGCAGGGCCAGGATGAGCGTGCAGGTCTCACGCCTCCTGTGTGTAGGCCATCCACGGATGACGATACCAGCACCTATGGGCCGCCCTTTGGCCCACCTGTGGCACACATTACAGCCACCCTGGAGCAGGGATGAAGTGCCCAGGGAGCAGCCTGGGATTTGCTAGGAGCAGGAGGCCCACTGGGGGTAGGGGTGGGGGGCTGTGGTCACTGAAGTCCACCTGCATGCCCAGAGGTACGGGGTGGGGATGCAAGGCTGGGGGTCAGCGCAGTGGTGGGTGGGTGCTGTGTGCTCCGAAAGCCCCAGCTGCTGGAAGTCCATCTGTGCCTCAGTAACCATCCAAGAGAGGGACCCAGCCCTACTGGGCCCCTTCCCAGAACCTGCCACGCCTTTCCTCAAGGCAACTCTTATTTGGCTCTCCATGCCCCAGGGAGCTCCTCACGCCCCGGCCCTGGACATCCACAGTGTCCTCCAGCCCCCTGAGCTTCCTGGACCCGACAGGGCCCCCATCTGTCCCAGCCTTCCACCTGCTGCAGGGACGAGGGATGCTGGCAAGTACAAGGATTCCGCCTGGAGGCCTGGGGATGGCAGCAGGCCCACAAGGACCACTGGGCTCAGGCCAGTGTAGGGGTACAGCACCTCAGAGAAAAAAAGGACCCTCCCGTGACAGGGCCCACGGGCCAGGTCAGGACCCATGTAGCTGAGGACGCACAATGTGCTATGTGGGTGCGAGTCACGTGGGACATCCTAACTTGTCCACCAAATATTTATTTGGTGCATGCCATGTGCCATCCTGTTCTTATCTTTGGGGAGACAACCACAAACCAGAGAGCCTAGCTGCTTGTCCTCCTGCAGGCTCCGTGTGTGCACCCAGGCTGGTGGAGCTTGCGACTGTCACGGGCACAGGGGTGAGCACGTACTTGCCAGAGGCCCACATCCTTCTGGAGCAGGGCTGGACCCAGGGGACCCAGAGGAGGCAAAACACTTTGGCCAGAGCAAATCCGCTACCCACCAATGTCAGGATGATGTGAGGGTCCTCAGGACAATACCCGGACGCCCACTTTATCTCCAACCCCCGTCCCCATATTAGCACGGCTTCTTAAATGCTGCCCACTATTCTGTTCTGTTCCTTTGGGCAAAGGCTCTGCCATTACCAGGAGACACCATCCAAGGGCAGACCTCTCTGGAATAAGGCCCACCTCACTCACCCACCATCTCCCACAATACCAAGGGGTCTGTGTAGCCCGGCCTGACGATTTCAATGTGAAAGGAAGAGGACTGCCACTGGAGCCCCAGATCCAGGAAGGCCACGAACCTCATGACCTTCTTCTCCCTGGTCTGCCACAAATTCTGGCCAAACAGGGAAGGAAGGGACGTGAGGAGAGAGGGAGGGAAGGAGGGAGAAAGGAAACAGTCCCTGGCTGACGGCTTGTCTTCACCACAACCCTGGAATGCTCCGAGGGTAAGTGATTTGCTAAAAGGTGGCAGAACTGGGATTAGAACTCAGGACTCCCTAATTCCCAGAACCCCAGTCTGGTTCTCGGCCGGCCTGTCAAGGAAGGCTCCTGATGGTCCGGTTTCCCAGATGGAAACCTGAGTTCTGATGGCCCAGTTACAAGTACAGGACTGAGGGATCCAGGCCCCAGGACGGGTAGGGGACATGGGGGTAGTAATGAGAAGACCATCCCCGACTTCTCTGCATAATTGGGGTGGGGTGAGGGGCAGATGGGGAAGGAAGCATTGAGCTGAGAGTGGACACACAGGGAAGCCAGGGAAGGCCAGAGCTACGCCCTCACCCCGTGTAGTCCCACCGGCCCTGGGAGCTTGGACTCTGGAGCAGGGGGCCGTCCCCTGACCAGCTCCTCCTCCAGGGTGACCTGACTCGGTGAGCAATGTGTCCCTCCCATGGCCAGTGTCATGGGCCCAGGCCTGATCCCACAGGCCTGAGCCAGGCTAAATAAGGGGGACTGCCCTCCCTCCCCAACTCCTGAGCCCTGGGCGGGGCCTGAAGCCACTCAGGCCCGGGCACTGTCTGGCCCTCCCAGAGCAATGGTCTCAGAAAATGGTTTTCCAGATGTGCCTTATTCCTGACATGCCCAGTGAGACCCACTTTCCAGTCAGAGCTGGCTGTTCCCAGGACAATCTGGACTCTAGCCCCACCGATGCTGTGGGAGAATCTCAGGCTTTGTCCAGAGCTGGGTGCACAGATCCTCAGACAGATGTTAAGGTTCAGGACCTCAGGCTGTGTGGAGAGAAGATGCCCACGGGTGTGGCCAAGGCTGGCGCTCTCTTAACCCAAAGCTTCTTGGAGCACAGGACAGAAGGGCTGAGAGGAGTGGACCCTGCCTACTGGGCAGGGCAGGGATTTCCACCCACAGGCTGTGTTGTGGGAAACAATGACTTCACTCCCTCTGGGAGGCCCACCAGGAAGATGGAGTTTGAAGCGGAAGGGACCTCTGATAGCAGACGGGCTGTGACCATGCAGTCACCATCAGCTTACCAGCATGCTGGACAAATCTTCCAGAATCTCTCAGGCTGTCCTGAAGGGAGGCAGAGCACTAAAGGAGGCTGGGAAGATAGGACAAGGCCCCAAGGAGGGGGTGAAAAATAACAGAATGCTTTCTCCCAGAGAATCCCTCTTCCAGGGTGCTCTGCACATCCCTCCCCTGACCTTGATCAAGGACCTGCCAGCCTGGCTCTTGGCTGCACAGATGGGGCCTGTCCCCCATGCCCCCCACCCTGCCACCACTGCCGGGGAGACATGGGCCAAGGAGGCATGGGCCTGTGAGGCTCAGCCAGCCCCCCACCCCTAAGCTTGGGGGAACAGAGAATGGACCAAGGTCCAGAGCACAGAGACCAAAAAACAGACAGAATGTCCCCCATGCTCCTCAGCCCAGTCCTCAAGGCACCCCACTCACCACCATCCCTTCCCAGCTCCAGACCGGGGCCCTGGTTCCTGTGCCCCCAGGCTCACTGTTCCCGGATATTTGCATGTACACTCTTCCCCAGCCAAGCACCTTCCTTCGTTGCCCTTCCCAGCCACACCACCACACCACCTCTCCTGACCCCCTCCTCCATGGTGACGGTGGTGGTTAAGGCCATGCACCCTCACCCCCAGAGCCAGTTTCTCACCCCCACCCATCCTCTAATGGCCTTGTATGGGTGAGTGGGGTTCAAGAACAGGGCTTGCATCTTCTCCCTCCCCATCCACTGTGCCCCCAGCAGAGCTGAGCTTGGCGCTGAGCATGAGGGTGGGGGTGGATAGGGAGACGATCCAGGAGGTGTCCAAGTCCCCTGAAAGACAGCACCCACCTCTCAAAGCCTGTGTCCCTGTCTGACAGAGGACTCCTGGCCTCTAGCCATTCAGGCGTCACACAATCCCCCTGAATTCAAAACCGGATTTCGTGGGCCACCAGTAATTGTCCAGAGGCAGAACAATTCAGGAAACTTTCTAAGCTACTTCTCCTCTTGCCGCCTTCCCCTACCCCTGCCTTCCCCAAGCAGTATTGTGTGGCT